GAGGGGACTTGAGTGATGTCAGATCATGTGCGGGGGTCAATGCCATAACGCGATGATACTGCATCATCCCAGACTCACAGCGACTTGATATGAGGATGCAAATGTCACCATCTTGCCCTGCATTTTTATGGCATCCTGATGCTGGAGAGGAACAGCAAACAGAAGAAAAAACATGAAGCATCCCCAAGACAATAAGGCAAGAGGACCTGAAGTGCAGGGCATCACTGTGGGAGAAGAAAGGGAGCTGCGTGAAGAACAGGAGCTCAGACTGTACAAAGAGTACGGAGAGCTTTAATACACCAGTTCCTGGGTAAGAAGGAACCAGTGCCATTCAGCTGTAAAAACCTGCATGTTAATATAGATAATACACAGACTAGACAACCAGGCCTTGCTGTAGTTTAATTTCTGCCCTCCAAAAAGCACTTCCATGCAACATAAGTCATTAAGATAGTCTACAGCCGGAATAAGTATGGAGATGCAGACTTAGCAACAGTGGGGTTAAGAGCCATCATCTGCTAAAGAGGTATCTTTTTAAAGGAAAAACCAAATACGATTTTTGGGGTGCTCTGGCAATATATACACACACGTACATATATATATATATATATATATATATATATTTATACACAGAGATAGATAGATAGATGTACACTCACATACACACCATTTTTGCTAACAGGATTAAGACCACCTATTACTTTTCTGCAATTCTTTCCTAATCGCCTACCAACATGAGCTTCCACCCAAGTGCCCCACTCTATCCCCAGTTATTCCCCCTAGAATGGGCAAAGATTTACCGCTGCCTGGCTTGGTTTGAGCGAGAGTCAGATTTCAGAGCTCACGTTGCTGGAGCCTACACTTGATCTGACAACCACTGAACAATAGCTAAAGACTGCACTGCCTATTCATTACTGTACTTTAGACAGCCTATTACCGTATGGTAATTAGAAGCCTGTATGCCTAACACAAAGGCACCAGCCCATGTGCTTTTTGTGCTAGGGCCTCTTTCCTATGGCAGTGATAAGAAACCCAGCCTTTACTCCTAGCCAGAGCGTCATAGTATATTTAAGTAAATAAAACCCACTGTGTCTGGTCCCCATCTCCAGCTCATCAGAGCTGTCATGTACTGGGACAGACCCTAGGTCCATCTTGCCCAGTCTCCTGTGTCACACAGCCGCAGAGGTGGAAATGCAGAGTGAACTGGGGTTGACCTGGGTTACTTTCGCCTGGTGTTCCTCTTTGTCTCACGGCCACCAGCATTTGAGGTCTAGGATGTTCTGATTCAGCATCCGTTTTCTCAGTCCTGGGCTCCTCATCTAAGGCGAAACAGGGAAGTTGCCTCTGCTCCCAGCCCCAGGGAGCGATAAGGAGGGAAAGCATCAGGAGCCGCCTTGGACCACACAACCCAGCCAGCCCTGCTCCTCCCAGAGCGTCCAGCACAGGACTGGGCCCGGGGAGGGCCGAGCCCTGGGAGCCCAGCTCTCTTCCACTGAGCACGACCAGGGCTGGGATGAGCCCTTGCTCCCCCGCGACAGGGGAAGCACCGGGCTTCGCCGCGGGGCTGGGCAGCGCACGCACGCAGCCTGGGGAAGGGGTTGTGGGGATGTGAGCATATGTATACATGCACCTGTGTGCATTCGTGTATACACGCACACACCTAAATGTATAGAAACTCCACACACATGGATTTATAGAAACTACCTGTGCGCGCACACAGATGTACAGCAACTCCACACAAATAGGAACTGCACGCACACACACAGAGGAACGTATAGAAACTGCACTGATGCACACAGATGTATAGAAACTACACACAAAAACCACACACACATAGGAATGTATAGAAACTGTGCGCACATGCTCATAGATGTATAGAAACTACACACACACACACACACAGGAATGTATAGAAACTGCGCGCACACTCATAGATGTATAGAAACTCTATATGCACACACACAGACACACAGACACACACGGGAATGTATAGAAACTACACATGCACACACCTAAATGTATAGAAGCTCCACACATGGATGCATAGAAACTACCCGAGTGCACACACAGATGTACAGCAACTACACACACACACACACACACACACACATGAGGAATGTATAGAAACTGCACTGATGCACGCAGATGTAAAGAAACTACACACACAAAAACACACACACACGGGAATGTATAGAAACTGTGCACGCATACACACAGATGTATAGAAACTCCACACGCACACACATACGCACAGACACACACAGGAATGTATAGAAACTACACACGCACACACCTAAACATATAGAAATTCCACACACACGGATGCATAGAAACTGCCCGTGTGCACACAGATCTACAGCAACTCCACACACACACACACACAAACAAGCACACACAAATAGCATCCACAAACACACACACACAGAGAAATGTATAGAAACTGCACTGATGCAGATGTATAGAAACTACACACACACACACACACACAGAGGAATGTATAGAAAACGTGTGTGCACGCACACAGCTGTATAGAAACTCCACATGCACACACACATACACACACACGTGGGATTGTATAGAAATCACACACACACACACAGAAACTACATGCACACACACAGACGTACAGCAACTCCACACACACAGAAACTGTGCACACACACACACATATAGAAGTACCACATATGCACGCACATGTATAGAAACTACACACACACACACACACAAATAGGAGCTGCACGCGCGCGCACGCAGGGACATATAGAAATTACACACACACACACACACACACACACACACACACACACACACACGCAGGCACACGGGGCCGTACAGAAGCACGCCCGCGCCCCGCCCCATCCCATCCCATCGCATCCCGGCGCGGGCACCTGCTCCCGGGCGCGGCTCCGCATCGCATCGCGCCG